AGTGATAAAACGATTGATGTTTTATCACGTTTGCATATGTTTTATGCGTTATATATTTTGGAATAATAAAAATTTTAGTGCGATGTCAACGATAAAACATATAAAAGTCACCGGATAGTCGCCGAGCAGTCGCCAGATAATCAATGAATTGAAGAAAAGTTCGATTAACAAGAAGGCAAGAAACGATCCACAGTCTTACGACACCTTTTATTTTTCCATACAGAAGCTGAAGGTCGAGATCTTATTTCTTCTTTAACGCTGAAGCTTACCGTAAATCTTACCTGTACGATAAACCCGAGGCGCCCCTCCTGCAGCGCCGCAAGTGATATGCTATGAATCGCAAATCTCCACTGAGGAGATTAGATTATCAATTCCCATGCGTCCTTCTCCCCACTCATGGTCGTACACTCTCCTCCTTCTTCTCTCCTTCTTCGCTAATGTTCCTACGATCTCATGAATAAACCCTCGAAAGTCGGTATCCTGTCGGTACTCGGCATTTGTTAGTGCATACATCAAAGTTTTGCCGTTTTCGCTCGTACTACCTGCACCTGTCGGCAGTGCTAGCGTCGGCACATCGTTATGCATCTCGCAGTCAAGATTCCGAGGTGCTTCGGCAAGTTTTCGGTACTCACAAACATGAAATGTGCGTAACGAAGCGTGCAGCGTTCTTGTTCCACGTCCCTTTATCAATGAAATATCAACCGGATTAAGGGTGGAGTAAACAAATTAAAGAAAGAATAGCGTTCACGATGTGCTTTGACGAATTATTCGCATTAGGTGAGTGGGATCTTTAAATCTCTCACAATAGCAAGAGATATATGAATATTTTCGCTTAGCATAAGAACTATCGGTGGAATCTCCAAATTCTCTAGAACAATGAGAACTTTGCGAAAGATCATCCATTTTACTTGTCTCTTTCATTCCTTTTTCAAAACCGCTTTAATCCGTTATATTCCACTGTTTAATAATTTATTTGTCTTTAAAAGAGGGACGATAGCTGACGAATTTTCGTCAGTTTTCTTTAACTTTTCATAAAATTTTGTATTTCTTTTTCTGCTGAAACGACTTTCCAGATCAAATTTTCGTAACATTATTGATACTTGATAGAATAACACTGATTAATTATTACTAACTAATTGTTGACTCTATTAGGATAACACTGACTTTCTAAAAAGAAAGAAATCAGGACTCAGAGAGTTAAAAACAACGTGTTTCCGTGAAATGAGTTATCGCTAGCTGAAGATATCCTAAGAGCGTATCTAATTCGGAATTTATCCCAGCTACGAACGTGTCAAGCATGCATTTTTTTGAATAGTAATATCTTAAATAATCGGTTTTCAACAGAAGCTCTTGAATAGCTTTAACGTTTGGTCTCAAAAGATAGTCTCTCGTGTTATGTGTGTCTCATCTTACGTAACAAACATTAAGTAATAGCACATTCCATTTTCAGAATCTCGGCATGTTTTCTCTTTCAAAAATTCGTGTACTCATCATTGTATAAATAAATGACTTATACTAATCAATTAAAATTAGAAGAAAGATTCGCACGGTAAAGTGAAGTGAGTCGTGCGAAGACTGTGTGTTCAAATTACGCTCGGAAATCGCGACGTTTCATGAATTAATAACGATCATCGATCTACTTGTCACAGCCGCGAGTGAAATTTTATTTACTTCATATTTAAAGAATATATGTATATGCACATATTGAAAGAATATATCTTCGACAAGCGGATATTGTATTGTATTATATGCGTGATATAACAATATAATCCGCTTTTACTATTTCTACGGATCGTGAATTAAGAATGCATTAAGATGATGAATTAAGAATTAAGAATGAATTAAGAAGATGAATTAAGAAGGAATGAACGAATTTTTTGTAAGAAGATCTTTTAATTCTCGATTTTTCATTTTAAAAATTTAGAGTTATTTAAAAAGTCAAGTAGGTTTAAATAGTGCTTATATGTTTGAATAGAAAAAATGAATTCGGAAGAAAAAATTATAAAATTATAAAAATTATGAAGAACAAGAAAAAGTGAATAAAATGTTAGCCCTCTTTTCAAGAGAAACCGACATATTCATAATTAGAGAGCTTCAAAAGCACTTTATTAAACGAAGCAAATAGATCAATTAAAATGTTTTTATTTTTAGAGATATATGTACCGTATCTTTCTTTAAAAGGATACGTCGGTATTTAAAGAGTTAGTCTCGTTGTTGAGAACGAAGAACGAATATTCATGTAACATCGCGACTCTTCTGTGTCATTTAAATTGTTGACTGTACTGCAATAAAGCACAGCCATGAATCGCTGAAATATCATTAACTTACCATATTTTGATTTGCAATGAGGCTTGTCAAGCTTCATTGCAAAGGTTTATCTTATCTTCGCGTTACGGGGTGAATATTGAGGTATGCAAAAGCTTTTCGTCGTACATCGACGGGAGAACATTCAAGGATCACCGAGCGCTCGCAAATTATGAATTCCACCGTTTGCGACTACGTCAGCCTATATCAATTGAATAATAGATATTACCTCTCCGACTTATTCCGATATCCGATATTATTACATTTACTTCGCATTATATTCGCGCGTCAGAGTAGCGCCGTAATAGATTATAAACGCGACGCAGAGGCACGACATTGTTTTCTTTCTTATTTTTTTATATACGGAAGGATAAATATAATACTGATATATGTATTTTTTTAATGAAGAATCCAATAATCTCGATAACTACTCGCTCGACGGAGATATCATGCGAAATTGTGGAGATAATAGAGGAAATATTGTGTTGTGCGAAATTGTCGACCGCTGCAAAGTATCGTACTGGCACGTTTAGCAATTAACGGTTACCTTGATCGGAAATAATTAAATAAGGAACCGATAAGAGTGCATGAACAAATTACTTTCGATTGGATATCAACAAAGCCTTAAATGAATTATTTTCTTACCTCATATTACACGCACAATGACAATTTTAAAGATACGCGAGGGACATGGAAGATATCTGAAAATAAGCGCAGAAATGTCTTCGTTTTTGTGAAATACACACGCTCTTTTTTTTTCGCTGTCGTTCTCGCTCTCTCATGCGCGCCTTCCGCAGATTTCGAACAATGCGAACGGCGCTGCGTACGAGGCAACACGAATGCACGGTGATATACTCTAGTGATACAGTCGGCGACAAGCACGGAAAACGGAGGCATGAATCACTTATTGCTGTCTCATTGTCCGCCAACGGGAATAAGAACATTCGCGTTGTGGTTTATCATCGGCCAACTGAGTCACTGGCTGCGTCCACCCGGCAGCTTTGTTACACGCTCCGTTTCGCTCTCCGCTCCTTCTCGCGTGTGTTTGCGCGAAAAGCGCGAGCAATCTCAGCACTCTTTGTGTCACAATCGTCACTCCGATGGCTCCCGGCTGGGCGACGAGAAGGATGACAGAGGCAGAGAGAGAGAGAGAGAGAGACTCTGAACGCAGATTCGTTTTATTATTCATGAGCAAACGGCCCCGGGGGAGAGAAGCCGATTGTCGGCGATTGAATGGCGCGTGAACGGACGCGTTAGGAAAAGTTATTATTTTCGCCATATAGAGATTCAAATTTGCGAATGTACAGATTGTCGCTTGACGATATGCAGCATTTTGGAGGATGTGCTGCTGGCGAACGTCTCTCAGAAGCTGTCCTCGGCAATTGTCGCTTGTGTGAGCCTCTCGTTTCCTCGCGAACACCTGATCGACAATTGCGAAGGATCGCGCTAATTTATTATGTGTCCTTTCGCAAGCGGAGTGGAGTCGCTGTCGTCTCGGCATCGACGCCAATTGCGCTATATTGAACGCTGCGGATACTCACACTGTGATGATGCACGAGTGCGACAGACGCGGGTACCAATATTTTCGGCGATGTAATCGCAGTGCGTTACTCTCGTATTTTTAGCCATCGCTTACGCAGGCGCCCGCGCGGAAAGAAAAGAAAAGGACGATGCAATTCGCAGGCATCCTTCATAACTACGAGAGACACCGTGATGTAATGTATTATCTGACCCAACTGGTCAATCATCATCAAGAGAAGGACAGTTTAAAGAAAATACGTTTTTTCCTCGTTTTTTTTTCTCGAGACAAGGACAGAGAATCATCTGCTTTGCATTCGTGACAAACCGTTTTTTCTGTAGTTCTCTTTTATTATGATGGAAATACTGGAATTTGCAGATGACGTCTATCTCGACAAAACACAGAGAGAATTTTATAGCAAGAATTATCGCAAAATTTTGTAATCAGGGAATCGCATGCCGACATTTTTCCTTAATTTATTACATCAAAAAACGCGAATATCTGGTAGACTTTCTTATTCTTTTTATTTTATCAACTAAAGTCTTCTGGTCAAATATTTATTATGTTTCTTAGCAAAATAAACTCATCTCTATACTTCACACACTATTCTTGTACTTTTAGAAAACACGGCACTATTAGAGAACATGAAAAGATTTTTATATGGAAAAAACAATAATATTCTTTCTATGCAGTTATTAAAGCAATATCGATATCTCGACGTTACCTACGCTTATCTGTGCGTATCTTCCCAATTTGTTTCCCAATGTCTACTGAAAACAGTATCTCATTGTATAAAGAAAAACGTGGTTTCGCCCTCGTGGAAAATCGCTGATGTGATATACGGAAATTGTGACGCGAGTTGAGAAAATCACGATAAACAGCATCACCAAATATCATTAAGGTGCCAATTGCACCGGTACCATTTTAGGATTTTGGGGTCACACATGTATCCTCTCTCTCTCTCTCTCTCTCTCTCTCTCTCTCTCTCTCTCTCTCTCTCTCTCTCCCCCTCTCTCTCTCTCTCTCTCTCTCTCTCTCTCTCTCTCTCTCTCTCCTGTGAAATCGCGCGGCTCGCGATCGCGAGCGCTTATATCCACGACTCGTCTCCCACCACAGCTAGTCGCGACAGCGGCAAAATGTGTGTACGTTTACAGCTGTTTGCCAGTCGTCACCGGACCGCCGTAGTGTCTGGCGAAGGTCATTAACGTCTTCGTCGTCGTCGTCGCCGTCGTCGTCGTCGTCGCCGTCGTCGTCGTCGTCGTCGTCGTCGTCGTCGTCGTCGTCGTCGTCGTCGTCGTCGTCGTCGTCGTCGTCGTCGTCGTCGTCGTCGTCGTCATCGCTGTCGCTATCGGTGTCCTTATCGCTGTCGTCGCTGGCGATCGTTTCCGTTGCCGCGCCATTATCGATAGCTCTCGATTTTATGCGTCAGTTGATCCGTCACAGTCCGTCTCGCTCGTAACCAACCGAGGTAGCCGAAGATGCCATCATTGAGAGTCGTCGCGAAGCCGGTTATTTTCGTGGTCTCGCGTAAATCCCTGCTTACGAAAGAACCGCCGAGGAGCTGAGGGGAAAGAAAGAAAGGAGTCGTCTTATCGTTACGACAGAGAAAGAGAGAAAGACGCAGAGAAGAGCAGCGACTCTGCGTGCGCGCGCGCGCGCTCGTGTTCGAGCGCGCGCCTCGCGTTCGCTCGTATCGATTTCTCGATTCGCGGTCGAATCGCGAGGAACGAACGGCCGAACGCGAAGAAACTGATAGACAGTGTCGCGAGACAGTGATCGAGTGCCTCGAGGAGAGTGTCCATCCGTCGAGATCGAAGGGGGACCGGAGAGAGACCACCAACCGGTTAAAGAACAGTCGTCGCGATGGGCCTGGCAGGTGTGCTCCTCTTTCTTCCTTTTACTCCTCTCCGTCACGCGCGTCGCATTATCTCGTTTTACTCGTCTCGTAATCCGCGAGCGATGGATATGAGTATTATTTGCCAATTGCAAGCGATAATAATCCTGGCGCGCTCGCCGTGAGGAAAAAAAAGATGCATCTTCGCGCAAAATGTAAACGCTTTAGTTACGCGAACGTGGCTCGTCATCGCCTCAGGCGATCGGTCTTGATGATCGATATAGTTGTATACTCCAATTTATCTCTTGATATGATATTTTGTTGGAACGCAAGATTAGGTTGTGTCTAATCGCTATGTACGGAGGCAATTTTTCCATCGTGACTGGAAATGTGAAAATGCGCTTGGCACTTTTATAATTTATGTCGCTCTGCTGTTATCGTCGAAACATGCTACCAAGCTTTGATTTCTTCCTTATTATAGCATAATAAGAAACTATTTCAATAATACATTTACTGCGTTGACGCATGAAGAAAAGTGATAATGTACGCATTTCTGTTTGCTGTATGACTAGCAACTGAAGAAGATGCCACTTTAAATGCACTAAAGGAATCTATTTATCAAGCGAGCTAAGTGATAGAGCAAGTGAGTCAATTGTTAGACCACGCCATAGATAGCGACTATCAGGCATATATCAAGTATATATATATATATATACATATATATATATATAATATAAATATATATATATATATATATGTATATTCATATGCAAGTATATACATAAATATGTACATTTACCAATAAGTAAATGCATATAAAATCAATCAAGAGGCTATTCGAAAGTGCGAACTACTTTTAACTCATATTTATAAAATTTCAACAAAATACTGCATACTTATCATTCGATGTTCAACTCCATCGAAGAAACTTATGATTTGATTCCTTGAGACAGGATGGAAATGGAAATTTGCAAGGCCATTGAGTTGCAAACATTAACCCGATTGGATTTTTAATCGAGAAACGCAAAAATGTACGAGATTTTTACTTCCTTGAGAATTCAACGTAGTCAATTTGCATCGTCGGATTGATCCCTTATTCAGGAGATCCTTCTCTCTCGAATCTAAATTTCTTGGACTACGTTCCTGGGATTCTCGAAAAAGTGGGTCGAACTGCTGCCTTCTTTCTCTCTTCCTTTTTTTTCAACGGACTCTCCAATTTCAGTATTTATTCGACATTACGTGAAAATATTCCCGCCGAACGCTCAACAGTCTCGAAACTTTCCGGTGTCAATTGGAAGCGTCAACAACGGCCGTCCTAAAGGAAGCTTTTGCGCGTGACGGCCGCTGGGTTGTGTTCGATCTAATTGTGCTACAATCTAAACGTGACTTGCGTTTTCGCGTGACATTTCACATTCGCGTGCGGCGCGGCTGAGCGGTAAGGCTCGGTTGCAACGACATTCTGGATTAATTAAGCTCGGCTCGCGGCGACTCGCTGTACTTTTTAAATTACAGCGTCACCTGCGCGCGAGCAATACGGAGAAAGGATATTTATTGAATTATAATTGATCGTCTCCTGAGGAAAAGAGGGAGAGAGAAAGAGAGAAAGAAGTAAACGGCTGGAGGAAAGTTCCTTTCTTATTAATTTTCGCATATTCATATTCTTGTTCTCTAATCAAAAAAGCAAAATATATAAGTCACACATTGAAATGTCATACTAATCTGTCCGATTATATGGGCTTTAAATGGTAGTTATTTAGATAAATATATTTCTTGTTCTCGTCCAAAGACGAATATATTTTGTATGTAAAAATATTTTATCAAAGGAAAAGTCTTGCTAAAGTCTTTCTGAATTAGTTGCATTTATTTCAGATTAATTAATCCTTCACAATTCTACGTCGAGGCTACCTTGACATCGTATTTTGTGGCGAAAGAAAAAAGAATAACTCTTGAAAGAACTGAAAAAACCACCTTTCAGATGCATTTACGTTCTCTCATTTTTCAGACGTAGAGATGCGCTTAGATTAATGACGCGACCGTTTCTAAGATATGCATTTCAAGACGTACCCGTTTCGACCGCGCGTTTTTTTATTTCACCTAATGTTTTTCCATCCTTCACTCTTCAAAGTCAAAACGTACACCTGCTTGATCTCAAATGCAGAAATCGCAAATAGGCGCAGCAGAAACAAACAACTCTCGAGTTCTACGTCTCTCTGAAGAGCGGCAGCGCTTCTTCTCTCGGCGCGAGAGAACGTCGCGCGCAATTAAAAATCTCTGCGACGCGAGAGAAGCCCCCTCTTATCGTTCCAGTTGACACGTCGGCCTGTGTTATCGTTGACGCATAGCCACTGCAAGTATGCGTGTACACGCCAGCAGTGTATCCGCGTAGCTGGTGTACCCCAGCTTTCAACCTCAATTCGCCAAAGTATCGAAGGGTCGCGGCCTGTGAGATCTTTTTCGGACGCGTCGTCGTGAAAGACGTTTGGAAAATTCGTGAGAAGAGCCTAGGGGAAAGTTTCCCTCGTATCGAAAAGCCCTCTCGTCGCGAGATATTTTATTTTGCTTTCTTCGCATTTTAGTTTCGTTTTTTGGTTAAAATTTAATCCTAAGAAATCAATAAGTGAAAAATTAGAATTGAATTATGGGACATGTGATCTCAGATCTTGTAAAAAATATGGTGAAGGGAGAAAAAGTGACCGGGATAATCAGGCCCGTGTTTGCTCTTCATGAGACACAGGGTGTGCATTCCATCTTTCGGCGTTCCAAGTCTGAACCTAGCCGATCTAACGGAACATGCGCTACTGCATGTGCGTTCTGCATGTTGCGATAGGTGCCCCGAAGCGTTGCGCCAGACCATGACACGTGCGTGCGCATGATCAGCGTGCCAGTAGCGTAGATAATAGTGAAAATTCATTCCATAAGTGAAAAAGGTGCTGTGAAAGGGAAAGGGAAAGGCTGGCATCGACTAAATGCGACGAAAGTGTCGAATTACTGATGCCGACCGTTTGCCATCGGCTAATGGCGCTAACCCTTTGCGGTCCTACGTCGGTCTTATCTCGTGTTTCGTTCTAGTCTCGACTCTACGAATCAACTTTCTATTCATCAACGATATACTCGATGCAAGTATAATACTGTGAATATATCGTTGTATCAGTTAAATGGTGAAATATTGAGGTGAATAAACTTGTACAGATTATGATGTCGATTATGACGCCTTGGACTGAAGAGCGAAGTTTCTCGACGTCGTGTCGTCTCTCTATTTGCGCTACACCGAGCGACTCTCATTTTCACCATCGATTTTTGGCAACTTGTGAGGGGGGAAGGAGATGGAGGAAGGAGGGCAAAGGAAGGAAAGAACAGATTCACATTCGAATTTCGATCTGTGGAAATATTTGACAAATCAAGGTCTAATGAAGGCTAATGAATGCGCCCAACGATAAGTTCGGCCGGTCGCGAGACGGCCGGAAGACTTACGACAGATCAAATTATTGTCACAAAGCCGAGTAAAAGCACACTCGGCGTAGTCAACCCGATTACATATTTCTCGTTTTATGTCGAATAGAGCACGTAATCCCCGCGTCGTCTCCGCGGACGATCGTAACACACGTTGATGTGTTCGTTACATTTGTTTGTTCCAAGTTCGCGCAACACGTGATTGCAGTGTAGAGTGTGTTGTTTACCGCTCCGACCTTTAACGACACTCGTCAGACGTTCAGGCAGACGCTTTTATTTTGCGGTCCGTCCGGCACAGGACTAGATTTGGAAAAGTGTCCTGTATATTTGGAAAAGTGTCCAACCTACGTCCGGATGTAAAGTGTCGATGATACGATCGTTTTCACATCACGATTCCCGATCGTATCATATTGTTCATTCGGCAGTGATGGCTCTCACATGCCTCGCTGTGGTTATTGTTTTTCGTCCCGAAGGCGGATGCTCCAGCTCCTATCGATCACGCTCACTGCGCAACAATGACAGGGGACTTATGTTTCCGATGCACCCTAAATTAATACTCTAATTGGTCATATTTATTATCCAGTCAGATGCGGTAATTCATTGAATTTATTATTAAGCACAATTTATGCAAATTAACATACAGCTGACGCATGAAGTAGAGATTTTTTTTGCTCGTCAGCTATGAAGTTGACTCGTCTGCTGCAGTCAGTTTGCTAATTATAAAAGTTGGTGAAGAAACCTTTCTTAATCGATGAATTTCTACTCATCGACGTGGAAAGTGAAAAACCAACTAATAGCGTTTTTATGATTAACGAAAAAAATCGTCACATTTTTGCTCAGCCAATCCCCTTTTCGATGATCACTCCTCCTCGCAATTCGACATTTTCCTCGTGGAATTTCATTAAATTAAATCGGCAATTTCATTAAATCGATGGCAAATAATGCGCAACACGAGGAAAAAAGGCGGACATCAGAAAAAAAACGTTCATATGTTTCTAGTCGAAGTATTTGCAAAAGTGATTCCAACAACTAATCGTATAACCGGCACAATAAATGACGGTTGAGATTTAACCGATTTACGTATCCGCATGTTTCGAAATCCCTTCTCGAGGCGGGCAAACAGGAAGAGGTCGGGCGACGTGTGGTGTTCGCGCGTTGCGATCAACAGGAAGACGCGTCTTAAAATCAGCCCAAGTAATTAAGTCTCTCTTTTCTTGCCGCAGATTGGGTCCCTCGCACGGACGCTCGCCACTATGTTTGACTATGCTAAACAGCGCGCTCGCGCTAACAGCTTAGGCAAACGCGACATATTCACGCGCCGTTGAAAGCCCACAAAAGTAAAAAGCCTCGTGTCTCTCGACGAGCGCGCGCGGCTTTAAGTCAGCCGCTGCTTTTAAACATCACTGCTACGGAGCATGCATAAATAATTAATAACCTGCAAATTGATTCGCGTTGTCGTTATGACGAGCGTGTAACACACGTGCGCGCGCGCTCGCTCGCACACGCACAAACGCGCGGTACGCGATTTATGAAGGGGAACTCGCGTGTGCAAGATAAAGGAAATAGAAAGGACACCACCACTGGCTTCCCTT